GCTGTCGAATGTTACTCCGAGTATTTTGGGGTTATTCACCGTCGGAATTGGTGTGTCATCGACGTGAATCCCCAGCGGTAGCCTGACCTCCTTCGTCCAGGTTGTGAACAGGGTCGCGGAGGATTTCGTAGGGGAGAGGGCTAGACACTTTGCAGTGAAGAAGCGAGAAAGTTCGGAGAGATAGCCGTTTACTTTCGAACACAGGTCATCAATTCCATTCCCAGTCGCCATGATCGAGCAATCGTCGGCATAAGAGACAATCGAGACTCCCTCTGGTGGTTGAGGGAGCTTTGAAATGTAAAAGTTAAACAGTAGCGGGGAAAGGACACCACCCTGAGGAACCCCCTGTTTTATTTTTCGCTGCTTACTCGTTTTGTCTCTAAACATTACCGACGAATGTCGACCACTTAGATAATTTGCCGACCACCGTTTGAGCCTCTGTGGGAGAGAGGAGGCCTCTATATCTTCTAGCAGCGTGGAATGGCAGACGGTGTCAAACACCTTTGACAAGTCCAACGCTACTAGAATCGTTCTCTCACAGGGACGGTTACGGTTAAGGCCACGAGTTATCTGAGTGTTTATGGCGTTAAGTGCTGTTGTTGTACTGTGCACTTTACGGAAACCATGCTGATGCTTCGCTGGGGTCAGGTGGTTTGTGAAGTACGGGAGTAGCAAGGCCTCGAGTGTCTTCGCTACCGGGGAAAGGAGTGTAATCGGACGATACGAATCTCCTTTGTTGGCAGGTTTCCCCGGTTTGAGCAGTGGGACCACTCTCCCCACCTTCCAGATGTCTGGGATGATGAGAGTGGCCATTGACAAGTTGAGGACCTCCGTTAGGTACGCTACCCCCGCAGGACCCAAATTTTTCAGCATCAGCATGCATATTCCGTCGGGACCCATGGCTTTGGAGGCTTTCGCCTTCCCGATGGCCACCTGAACTTCACCGCAAGTGAAAGCAAGGGGGGCACAAGTTGTTGGCAGTTTGTGCAGCCTTCTGGTCACTCGACGCTTGGCTTTGTCCACCGGAGGATGCAGTATGAACTGCCGGCTAAAATAGCTCGCGCATCGCTCCGGGTCCGACGAAGCATGGTCGCCGAAGGAAATTTCGACTCTGTCGTCGTGCTTCGTCGGATTAGACAATGACCTCACGGTTGACCAAAGCTTGCTCACACCAGAGGTGAAGTTGCAAGTCTTCAGATGCTCCTCCCACTTCTTCCGCTTATGTACGTTTACAAGTTGCCGAATCTCCGCGTTGAGATCCCTGATACGGGGATCTCCGGGATCGGCCTGACGAAGGCTATCACGCTCATCAGCTAGAACAGCCGCTTCGGCAGGGAAGTTTGGACGTGGGTCCGATATACATCCTGCCGGTATGAAGCGAGCTGCAGCAGCAGTGATAGCCCTGCGGAACTTACGTTCACCGAGATGGACGTCGGTTGGTGTGGGGAGCGATGTGAAGGTGTTTTCAGTAAACTCCGCGTAACCTTTCCAGTCAGCTTTAGAAAAGTTGACATAGGTCCGGTGTTTGGCGGAGGCAAAGTCGGTTGGTTTATCAATCGAGATGACTATGGGTAGATGGTCTGATGCTAGAGTCAGCATAGGTCGCCACGTTATGCTGTTTATCAGACCAGCGCTGACTATTGTGATGTCTGGCGAGCTACTGCAGTTACCCATAATCCTGGTGGGTGCGTCGTCGTTCATTGTGCAGAATGTCGAATCGTCTATCTGCTCAGCCAAGTCTGTTCCCCTACGATCGTTTGACAGGCTTGAGTGCCAAAGATCGTGGTGCGCATTGAAGTCACCTACTTTCGAATCATTTTGTTGCCACTTCGGGTGTACCTCAAGGTAGTATCTTGGGTCCGCTCTTATTTGTCCTATTCATAAACGATGTTGGGTCATGCTTTCTGTCGTCTAAGTATTTATTATATGCTGATGACCTCAAGGTCTACGCAGTGATAAAGAACTCACAAGACGCCATATTCTTGCAATCCGAGCTCGATAGACTAGACTCATGGTGCTCTTTTAATTGTTCATCTCTGAACGCCAGTAAGTGCTCATATTCTACTTACACCAGAAAGCTTCTTCCTGTTCAAACCAAGTATAATATTGGCGGTTATGATCTTAGATCTGTCGTAGAGGTTAAAGATTTGGGAGTATACTCTGACTCAAAACTAACCTTCGCAACTCATATTAATTATGTTATTTCCAAAGCTTATGCTATGCTCGCTTTTGTTCAGCGCAATAGCCGTCGTTTAGGGATCCCTATACCCTTAAGCTTCTTTATGTTTCATTGGTGAGATCTAGGTTAGAATACTCATCCTTCATTTGGCGACCCTATCGGTCCGTCTACTCAAACAGGATTGAAAGGATCCAAAAAGTTTTTATAAAATTTGGCTTGCGTTCCCTGAGGTTTTCGGAGCCTGTACCACGTATGCACCTCGTTGTCAACTCCTTGGCTGAAACTCGTTAAATAGTAGGCGCTCATTTCTCGCTGCCTCTTCTGTGGCTAAAATAGTGGAAGGCTCTGTCGATTGCTCTACGCTTTTGGAGAAGTTATCTTTAAATGTTCCGTCTTATAACTTGCGACGTGCTTCATTATTTTATTTGGGATATCCGAAATCCAACTATGCGAAATTCTCGCCTCTCTTTGGAACCCTCTCCGAGGTAAATGAGCTTTCGGAATATAATCCATCGCTCTCATTTGAAACAGTACATCGTGTCCTGCTAAATTACTTTAGGTAGTATTTATGCTCCTTTGCTTGGTAATTCTCTAGGGTGGGGTAACAACCCCTAAAAAAGGTGCGGAAAAGTCGGGAGGGGTACCAAACGACGCGTTTCGGCCACCTGAAAATTTTCATTATGTATATATAAAACGAAAGAAGATACCGAAAAGCATTCAACAGTGCACACATCTCATAAGGAAAAGTGAATTATTACGAAATACTAATACAGTGGCAGCACTATAGCTATTTTGGAATCTCGCGTTTCAGCTCGCAAAGATTGTCAACTTCTTTTTAATAACAAAATAATCTATCTTAGGTTGATAAAACTATGTGTTTCTTTAATAAATAAGTTAAATTATATATTTTAATAGTGTTTAANTATTTTGGAATCTCGCGTTTCAGCTCGCAAAGATTGTCAACTTCTTTTTAATAACAAAATAATCTATCTTATGTTGATAAAACTGGCAGCACGATAGCTATTTTGGAATCTCGCGTTTCAGCTCGCAAAGCTTGTCAACTTCTTTTTAATAACAAAATAATCTATCTTAGGTTGATAAAACTATGTGTTTCTTTAATAAATAAGTTAAATTATATATTTTAATAGTGTTTAAAAAGTGAGAACAGGTGATTTAGTGAATCTTTGTCGGTGTAATTGCCCATAGAAAACAACGAAATTTAACAAAAGTTTTTTGTTCATAACTTTTAAATGGTTAATAATATTAGTTCCCCCNCTTTTCCGCACCTTTTTTAGGGGTTGTTACCCCACCCTAGAGAATTACCCTTTGCTTTATTCAGTAAGGATTTGTATTCCATTTGATTGAATAAATAAATAAATATGACCCAACTAACGGAAACCGTGGGATTTTTTAATAAAAGAAATTATGCCAAATTAGATATCGGGCGATTTTGAATAAAGAATAAAAAAAAATGAATTAAAGATAGAAAAAACAAGTTTTTATAAAAAAAATGTTCTTTTTAACAAATGTATTTTTGCGTAGAATTCCTTTCCGCGTAGGCGGAAACGATGTTTAACCGCCTTTAGTCTGAGAATATTTTGCTGGTAAATTCTAGTAAATGTGTCAAACGATCAGCTGTAATGTGGTTGGCAACCAAATTGTAAACAAAAGAAAAGTGTACTCTGCTAATTCATGTTGAAAAGTATTTAAAGTGGATTCTAATGAATGTGTGTGTGTTGGGTTATTTACATGTGTGGTTTGAGTGTGTTTACATACAAAATAAGCAAAAATTTACAACCAAAATTTGGAGGTTATGTTGAACTTGACAGAAGTTACCATATTTTACTAGAAAGCGATCCCGTACTTTTCAATGTTACTCTCTCGCTCTGAGCGAATTCTTATTTTTTGACAGTTTTACTAGTCCGAGCACCTAGTACTTCGATTTAGCCACATGTATCACAATATCGCTAAATATATCCTTAAAAAATATATTTTATTTATTATAATGTTAACAATTTTGGCGTGCTCAACGCAAAATTCACCTGCTGATGTGCGGTTAATTAATTATAGTGGTCTATAGGGGGAGTGGTTGGAGGGGGGAGTGGTTGGAGGTGGGAGGGGTGACTTTTCATAAAGCGGCGTCCTTCCCATCCGCCCCCCACCCCTAAATCGTTGTACAAATAGCTAAAGATTTCTCCTCATTTATTCCCTACTGTTACCGAGATCATTATGAAACAAAGGTGGTGTTGAAAATCCCTTCGTTTTATTTTGTTGAATTTTCGACCATGTGGTAGCACCCTTTATATTCACCTTCACAGCCATTTTGATTTGTTTACTTGTTTACTTTGTCGGAGAAGAGTAGTGTAATTATTAAACGAGTTTTATATTGCTATAAAATAACATAAAATACATTTAATGTACACAAAATGCACGTGCCCATTGCAAAGATCGTATATTTATTTTAAGTGCTCTTTTTTAATTAAACTTTGCTGGTGAAACTGCAAAGAATTTGCCGACAAATTAGTTAAATACTATTACTAATAAAGTGAAGAGTGATAAATAATGTAAATATATATGATTCTTTACAGCGCTCCAAGTTTCATCACGAAATTCGTGAGTTTTGTCAAAACTCCCAAAAGCCGATGTAATGGAAAGCCAACGCTAGCGTAACATAAAATAGAAAATGAGAACAAAAAAATACACAATTGGTGATGGCGCTATAGTCGTTGAGTGGTCCAAATAAATCTGCCTGGCTGTCAGAACGGCAGTTACTTAAAACGTAAATAAAAATTAATTAATTAAGATTTTTCCCACAACCTACCGATCTCCAGATCCTTTTTGAAGGAGGCGACTTTATCAACCAACCCTCATAATGTACTTCTTTGTTCATGCTTTGTAAATATTCCTTTTATTTTGTTTAAATACTTTAAACCCTTATCCACCAGATTTAGTACAGCTGTTTTTGAAGACCAGATTAAATAATTTAGAAACAAAACTAATTTTAACAAATCTAAGTTTTTATAAAGGCAAACTACCGATAGCACTATCACAACTATAGATGAAACGATACGAGTAAATACTAGTGATAGAACGCTACGAGTACCGAGTACAGAATGTCGATACTTTTCATAAGTACTGAGTACCCAATAAACATTTAGGGCCATTTTCACCATCTCTGGTTAACACTAATCCGCAGTTAAACATCGTTACCGACGGTACTGACTCCATTCATTTAACATTGGGTCGGTAACGTCGGTAACAATGTTTTACTGGGGGTTAGTATTAACCAGAGATGGTGAAAACGGCCCTTATAGCCGGTTGTTCAATGTCTGGTTATCACTACCACTACACTATCGACGATTTTGACATCATGCATGTAACATGTGATCGATAAAGCAGTAGTTGCGCTTAACCGGAGCTTCTACCTCCGATTTGTGCTAATCAGACATTGAACAACCGGCCCTTAGGGCCGGTTGCTCAAGCCTGCTTGACACTAATCACCGGTTAACATCGTTATCGACGTTTTCCACTCCATACATATAACACGGTGTCCGTAACGTCGACAACGATTAACCGGGGATTAGTGTCAACCAGGCTTTGAGCAACCGGCCCTTAGGTTTGAGCTCAACTTGAGGTTAGGTTGAGAACTAAGGTATTGCTCAAATCTCCAACTTTGTTTCTCAACAGTACCTCAAGTGGAGTATCATAGCGTTCTCAACAAAAAGGGAATTTTTTTTATGAAAAAAGGACTGTTTCTCAAGTTGAGAAAATGCTAGTTCTCAACTTGAAGTCCAATGTAATTCTCCAATTGGTCTCAAACATATCATTGAAATACTGAAATTGAAATAGTAAAATACTGTGGCGAATACTGCGGCAACACAAAGCGAACAACGAGAAATAGGCAGAATGTTCGAGGAATGACGTAGAATGTTCCACAAAGAGAAACGTCAAGTTGGATGAACACTGCGAACAGCGAGAGAAAGAGAATGAGCGATAAACTTCAGAATGTTCTAGAGTTGCCATAAGTGCCAGCGCAGGTATATAAGGGCGCCGCCACAGCGAGGTGAGTTAGTTACAAGTCAGCAAGCTGCGAGTAAAGCGAGCAGAGAAGTGAGTTGCGAACAAGCAAGTTATAAGTTTAATGCAGCGTTTTTGCTGCATTTAAAATGCAACATTTAGCACTTTCGAACATATGTTTTCGAAGAGCGTTCATGCTATCGCATTTAGCAAATGTACATTTACGCGAGTTCGAAATCGTATGCTTTTGACAAACAGCCGTGTTCCAGTCGCTTATTCAGATCCGTATCTATTACGATCAATTCTCACGCAGNCAATACAAAAACTTGAATTGTTTTAACCATAACCGAACATTTGTTTGTGTATATATTCATTTGTCGGTGCTGTCAATTCATGATTCAATAATAAAAGGTTTGCTCAAAAAGCAGTTTTCTCGCTCCCTCTTAACAAAATCGTCTCCCTTAGCAAGGCACTGTGTGTGGGTTCGTGTGTGTGTGCATAGCTTTTGTAAGGGAGCTAAGGGAGTGTCAAAACTCTAATGTCAATAATGAGCAAACCTTTAGTTATTGAATCAAGCTGTCAATTAAAATTTCCTCACTTAATAAGGAAACAACCAAACAGAGTTGATCACAAATTGATCTATCAGCATCAAATCGATGTTGAATTTGCTTAACTTTACTTTATCCAAATATGTAATGCAAAATAAAAGAAATCTCGATCGGCGATCACAGAAACGCAGCTAGCAACTGTATACTCGAAAAAGCAATGTTGCCTCTTTTTCTCTTTAAACCATGTTCGAATCGTGGAAATTTTGGAAGATCAAAGGGTTGCTTTTAGCATTTAGATTCTTAATGCAAAAATGGAGTTGCATTTAGTTGCATTTAGGTGACGAATTTTGTATGGATAAATGTACATTTAGAGTAGCATGTAGAGCTAAATGCGCTAAATGTGCTTTTACGCGTAAGCAAAAACAGCCTATTGCAGCGTTTTTGCTGCATTTAAAATGCAACATTTAGCACTTTCGAACATATGTTTTCGAAGAGCGTTCATGCTATCGCATTTAGCAAATGTACATTTACGCGAGTTCGAAATCGTATGCTTTTGACAAACAGCCGTGTTCCAGTCGCTTATTCAGATCCGTATCCATTACGATAAATTCTCACGGAAAAGATAATGTGCAAAAACCCCTACTGTAAAGGAAAAATAAATTCTAAACCGAAAATTCAATACAAAAACCTGAATTGTTTAACCATAACCGAACATTTGTTTGTGTATATATTCATTTGTCGGTGCTGCCAATTATATTTTCCACACCTAATTAGGAAACAAAACAAACAGACGGGATAATAGTTGAACCAGATCTCTATCAGGATCATATCGTTGTTGTTGAATTTGCGTAACTTTTCTTTATCCAAATAATGTAAAATAATAAATGAAATCTCGATCGGCGATCACTGAAACGCAGCTAGCGGTTGTATACTCGAAAAACCAATGTTGCCACTTTTTATCATTAAACCATGTTCGAATCGTGGAAATTTTGGAAGATCACAGGGATGCTTTTAGCATTTAGATTCTAAATGCAAAGATTGAGTTGCATTTAGATGACGAATTTTGTATGGATAAATGAACATTTAGAGTAGCATTTAGAGCTAAATGCGCTAAATGTACATTTACGCGTAAGCAAAAACAGCCCATAAGGGCCGGTTGTTCAATGTCTGGTTATCACTACCACTACACTATCGACGATTTCGACATCATGCATGTAACATGTGATCGATAAAGCAGTAGTTGTGCCTAACCGGAGCTTCTACCTCCGATTTGTGCTAATCAGACATTGAACAACCGGCCCTAATTGTGTTAACAAGTTCAGTAGTGGTATTCATCTAAACCGATAACTTTATCAAGCAGATAATCTTATAAGTTTACGCACTCTGTTACATGAACGACCCACGCTCTCTTTTCGTTTACAATTGCGACAATAGTTGTGTTTCTTTGGTTATAGAGCTCAGTATCACTAACGTTATACTACTAGCACGGGTATAAAGAAATTATAGAAACTACCTCACTATATTGGAAACAATTATATTTACGAGATAATATCTATTTAAATAAATATACATATAAAATAAATTCGATTAATTTGAACCAAGTTAGAAGAAACTATGGCAGAATGTCTGTTTGTGTATGAATTCATTTGTCACGGCTACCCAGCCAGCAAAATCATCGTAAACGAGCTCGTAATTGGATATTTTCTCGAAGAAAAACCGGATTAAAAATCGTTTATGATAGCCGTTTACGACTCTTTTTCGAGCACTTTTTCGCTTTAAATTGTGCATCGCCTACGAACAGTCGTAAACGCATCGAAAAAGCATTCGTATGCGAATATTTTTACGTCCGTTTTTTAATTGTAAACGAGTCTCGTAAACGATTAATTTACGTTAAAAAAGCGTCTGTTTAGGCGCGTCTGCTAACACCAGGCGCCTAAATACATGCTATGTACTGCTGCATGTGCAAAAATTTCCTTTATGCAACTTAGGAAATTTTTGCACATGCACTTCTCAAC